AGGTTGATCGGACTCAAGCTATGCATGACGTATATTCTCGCTGCCACTCGCAGACAGGAAAGTAACTGACTAAAAAACTCAAACTAATCAATATTAAGTAGATAGACGCATTACAGATACGTAGAATACGTGTCCGACCCCCTTCCTAGAAAAATATGTAATTATAAACGTTTTGTAACATCAGGGATATTAAAGATTGTTTAACCACCACAATACCAGACAGACGTCTAAACTGTACTTACCTTTCTTCAAAACCACTGCAGGGCAACACTCATTCGCATTCCGTGGGGTACATTGTTAAAACTCACTTCCACAAAATATCATGCAACAGACTTCATTGAAAGGTTGTAAATCTGCTCTTAAGAACATACAATCTTTACAGTCTTACATATGACCTCTGACCTCCACATGGATAACCGACCTTGACCGATCAATGACTTTTGAGTAACGGACAACGATTTTGATTTGTTCTCTACGGTTTTGTTTGTCTCTAAGTAATCTCATGTATTTATTTTGTATACTTTGGTTACCTGCGTTATTTATGTTTTACATACAATTCTCAGTTACTTCTTTCTAGGTATTAACCCTACCTAGACCGGGCTTTTTTTGACATGGGGGGACGGGGGGGGCTCTTTTGACCCCCCCTAAGAACTCACGAACGGTATGTCGTATGACCACCAAATTTTCAGAGAATGGTGTACTAGTGGAAATTTATCATATCTACAATTTTTTTTCATTTTGACGTAATATGACGTCATTATGACGTCATTAATGTGATTTTATTGGCCAAAACCGTCTAAATAGGTTTTTCCTTGAAAACTAAATGGTATTCAACATAACTGTACCAAAAGTGTTTATGACAGAATATTACGGTGTACTAAGTCTTATGTTGCCCATAGCAACACCGGTGACGTCATGAAATGACGTCATGCATATTTAAGATATCCGCCATCTTGGATCATGAATCTTGAATTTTCAAAAATAGTTCTTTTTCATGATAAAGCCTAAAATACACTGTAAACATACTAAAGACCTTCATTTAAATCTTTTTTGGAAAAAGAAATGGAAGTATTGATGAAATTTTAATGAAAATAACCTATATATACCTGTTCTAATGATATGGTCCGCCATCTTGGCTTTTGGCCAATGACGTCATCAAATTAGCATAAATTATGCATATTTAATGATAAAATTTACATAAAATTATATTGGATGTTATTAATATTAGAAACCATGAGTAACTTGAAATAAAACCCTTAAAATTCTATTGTTGAAACAAAAAGTACTAAAAATTAGCAAAAAATGCCTGTCAGAAACCCGTTGCCATGGCAACACAAAAAATTATTATTTTATTCCAATGATAAAGAATTGTTGCCAACAATATTTTAGGAAAAGTCACCAAGTTTGGCCGCTCTACGGCTAGCCGGTCAGACGCTAGGTGACATCAAAGTTGCCGCGGGCACTTTTTAGCCCCCCCCCCGGTCTAGGTAGGGTTAACTTATGTTTATTATTTCTGTAAACTGGGCCCCACTGAAATTCAACTTGTCAAAGCTGAGTTGGGCTACCCAGGTGTGTTAAAATGAAATAAATAAAAAAAAATTAATAACGCTACCAGAAAGGTGACTCCAGATGTCGATGGAACTTTTTAAATAGTGTTAGTGTGCTCAGCCTAGTCTGACTCTTATAAATGCAATTTTTAATGTAATCATTAGTAACGTGGCCATGTAAGACACACATTTATATTTTACAAATGTAACGAAAAAAAATCTTATCAATGGGACCATTACTTTGCCTACACATTAAACTCTTGTATCTGCCTACTATGTATGCATTTTGTTTTGTACAGGTCTATATGGAGTACCGTGGTGACAGTTCCAACAGTGAAGTTGTAAGCTTCAAACGAGGATGCTGGGGGGAAGCCTTATGTGACAACGCCGCGAAGAACACGGGTGACGACTTGGTCAACGAGGCGTGCGCTCAGACTAACGGAACATATGCTTGTCATCGGTGCTGTGACAAAGATCGATGCAATGGCATAAATCTGGTGATGGGATCCGATGCATCGCTGAAGTCAATGTCCATTGCTGTCATGTTACCAATTATCAACACCATTTTGCGCTTGTTCTAGCTCGCAGAGTAAACTCCATTGAAAAATAAAAATCTAGAAAAAATGCAGACACATAAGACATAATACGTTACGAAATTCAATTCTATCAGACGCTATGATAGATGAAAAAGACACGTATTCCGAGTCAATAAATAGCAACTAATGAATCTTGTGTGACCGATACTTAGCTAAATGTGGCAAAAAGTAGCTGGTTTTATTTTTTCACTCATCCCTGATGAACAAGTATTATCCTGTTGTCAACCATGTGTCCATCTCTAAATTGTGATGAACTTCATGGTCCATAGGTATGTAGTCGAAAAGATTGCGTAACTAAAACTATCCGTGTGTGTGTCCATGTGTCGTCTGTTAAGACAATCACTTATGAAGACTCAAACCAATTGTGTTATAAATAGATATACGGCTCAAATACATATAATTGGCAGGTTCCTTTCGAGACTTCGAAATGGTTAGCTTTTGCATCCCGTTCGCCTGGCGACCTGGTATGGTACTGCGGCAAAACTGCGAGTTTTAATAAGTCATTATCTGGACGTTGTAGGGTCAAAATTGTTGATGGTAGATATAGATTCTGTGCTCTAGAAGTAGTGGCATGAGTTTGGGACCACTTGATAAGTGCACACAATTATTTACTAAGGAATATTTTAAGAGCAAAATGATAGACTTTAACCCAGCGTAATCAATTTTCAAGTATCCACTGTCCTTACATTTCCATGCAGAGCCCAAATAAACATTTTGAGTTTCACTATATTGTTTGTTTGTTTGTTTGTGCCTATATTTATGAAGAGCACGTGGGCAGAACCTACTGCGCCTGCGCAAAACCCTAATTTATCACAGTTTTCTTTGAAGGTTTGATCAACCTTTCATCAGAATTTTGACTGTTGCAGACATCTTTGATGACACAACATGCAGACGAAACGTTAATCTTATATGCACAAATACAACATTATTACACTTTCGGGCGATATGACATGTCTGCAAAACTCGTTTAAACCTGAAAACATGGAGAGTCAAACATACCCCATTTACGGCTCAAAATGACTGTCACGATTGTCCCGAAAATCTTGCTTTAGGGATTTTTGAAAAATGCCCTCGATTTTGAATTATGGGTAATTTAGTGCGAAAAAAGCAAAAAAAAATCGATTTTTCACCTATTTGTCGACAAAAACTATACTTAGAGTCAGAAATTAAAAAATCCCTAAAGCACGATTATTCATCTTATTCCTAGTCATCGAAAAATATAAAAATCAGTGATCTTGCGTAATATGTGTAGCCAGGTTTGCTCGGGGATTGGCTAAAATATGGCGTTTAATTGCGAAATCCCGAAAATAATCGACTTTTTTAACGAAATGCGAAAAAAATCATCTATTTATCGCAAAAAAATCAATATTGAATGCATGTAAAGACAATAATTCTATTTTATTTCATCGAAATTTTCCCTTTGATACTAGTTTGTTTATTTAAACTGTTCTCCAACTCAAAATTTGACTCACCGGAATTTTCAACTGAATCACTGTCTTCTGACCCAACTGCCGTGGACACGTGATTTTTCCCACGTGTGACGTCAGCCGTACGTCACCGTACGCCGGATCATTGAGGGAGTAAGAGCAAAAAATCTGAAGGCCATTTTACTTTTCGTCGATTTCTCAAAAGCATTTGATTCGCTGAATAGAACAAAGATGATGCAGATACTCCTGGCATATTAGCTTCACTGAGTATCCACTGGCTAACTCATACCTTGTAAGCCAGTCAAAAAGCTCCAGTTGGCACTTTCTGACACAATGGTCAATACTTCTGTTGCTCCTATAGTGTGTGTCCTCCTCGGTAGCATATCCGTAATGCCGTGTGAGAAACAGCCCAAGATTAGTCCTTTGCAGACAATTGTATTTGATGATTTGCATTGTTTTGGATTTGAAGAGAGGATGAGAGCAATACTTTTTTGAGAAAGATAAATGCGCTGCTTTCTTAGACAAAGGAAGAAAAGTGCGTTGCTTTAAAAAAAAAAGGTTTGGGATTCAGCTTTCTTGGATGAAGAGTGCTAGTGTCCTTGTGAGTGTCGGCTGGAGACAAGAAAAGCGTGCTGTTTTTTTTTTTTTTTTTTTTTTTGGATCGAGAAAAGTTAAATACGCCGCATGTTGACAATACCTCCTTACGATGGAGGTACATGTACTTTGTTGGAAACATGAAAACGAGAATTTGAGAAACGTCAGCATTACTTCACTGACAGATAATTTCAGATAATGATTATGCCAGCAGAGTACTGAGCTACCTATTGAGCGTATAAGGGATATAGACGATTGTAAATATTAATGACACGTTGTGTGTTCCCTAAAACTACGTAGTTCAGCCTTTTGTACATACAACACTTTGTATTATTAGGCTGCAATGTTGTTTTAGTTTTATGTCAATCTGCAAATTTATATTTATTTGTTAATCTTTATTTCAGCAAAACTATGGTATATCAATATAATAAAAGTCTCAAGGTTTAACAGCAGAACTGCAAACACCAGTCAGATATCAAATCTCCTATAACAGATTGTTTAAATCAAAATTTCTGACATTATAATTAGCTACCCTATCACTTAAGAAAAATTTACATAGATCGCCAAACTACATATTAAAAAATTTATCTTACTATTAGTAAGTAATGATAACTATGATTGTATTTTGCTGTTTTTGTTTTGCAATCAATGTTCACTGTCATCAATGGAAACGATGGACAACCAGAGAATGTTCACTGTGTACATGTTAAGATAAAAAAGAAAATTATTGATTGAGGCAAGATTTAGCTTCTCTGGGTATTCAGTGGCTGACACATACCTTGTAAGCCAGTTAAAGGCTCCAGCTGGCACTTTCTATAGTTTATCCGCTTAAGTATTTATATAGCCATTTAAACATTTGGTAACTTATACGTGTTGTTTAGAATGAAAATAAGAGTAAAATCGTTTGCATGAAATTTAACTGACGTTATGGAATTCTTGTACAACTAGGTTTAAAAAGCAAAAAAAAACAAACAAATTCGAAACGTACTTTTGCTTCCGGACAATTAAAGTGAACCATACGCCGTCTGAACAACTGTTACTGTAGCTATGATATTAATACATGAACCTTTTTGCAAAACCAATGCATATATTACAACTACGGAAGCACACAGAACATAGTAATCAAATGGAGACGTCTGTCAAAGCGCCTAAGCCTGACGGGGTTTTAATGGATCGGACCTGAGGATGTTCTTCAGTTGTCAAAGCGATGTCTTCAGACCGGGGAGAAATCTTGGACTTCCTGGGAACACACAGACAACTGCATGTCAGTAGATATAATGCATTCATAATTATGCTTCTTGTTTATTTGTGTGTGTGCGCGCGTGGGCGTGTATGTATTTGTACACGCAAATTTCTGTTTGCGTCTTCTCTTGATGTTTCTTGACATACGAATGGTGTAGTAAGAACGTGAGTAACCTGCTTAACAGCGTGATTCTAACACTCAAAGTTCGATATAAATGGGATATGAGTTGGCATTGTTTGTAAAATTTGATCATGACCAGTAGTTACATATATCCGGAGATAGAAAAAGGAGTTTGCTCTTACATTTATAACATGAGAATAAACATGGCAGACAATAGAAAACAATATGGCGCTTGGCTACTTTTGTCTCAATTTTCACCCAAAATTCTAACCTAATTTTCAAAAATCATTTTCGTACATATGTGTAACGTTTATTAAAAAAAATACACTTAATGCACGTAATGCGAGGGTTTTCCGAGTTATATTATTAGAGGAAAATAGATTTCTTTTTGTCTTTTACGGTTGAGAAATTAGGATGGAATTTGTTGGTCTCTATAAACAGGTCCTTTCTTTCGTAATCGCGGGAGGGGCAATTTGAAGCAAAAAGTGATTCCTCTTCTATCGCGTTTGATATCCTGTAGTTCCAAGTTCTTACAAAAGCAAGATCATAATAGTAATGCAATATTTGGCTAACCTCTTGCATCTATACAGAAAGGCAATGACCGCAGCGACGACAAGGCCTGCGGCCAACCCTGTGATGACATATATTGCTGGTTCCATTGCTGGCTGCAGTTCCGTCGGTGGCACCTCATCAGTTATGTTAAACAACGTAGCCTTGACGACTCGAACTATTCGCTTGTCACCCAGCGCTTCTTCGATGATGATGACACCATGTTGGACGGCAGCAAAGAGAATGTCGGCAGGTAACACGGAGGTCTGGAGAGTGACGTACTCGGCAATCGCGATGACGTCATCCGACAGACTGCGGGGAAATGACGCCAGAAAGCGAACATTTTCGGAGTAAACCCGAATCGCATACGAATCACTGAAAAAGAAGATTAACATATTAAGGTATGATAAACATTAACAAACATCAGATTTTTACAATTTTGTGGAAAATAGGTTACATTTTTAGAGCTGCAGAAACACCTCCTAATGGTAATAACAGCAATCAGGTACAATGTTTCAAAACCCATCAACATAGACGGGGGACGTCAGAAAGTGCTAGAAACTTGCCGAAACCTAAAATCCACTGCTCATCACATATGCTATCACAGACGCGGTGGATTGATCATTAATTGACGAAGACTGCTGAAACTTACCTGATAGGTAAGTCAAATTCCCTGCTTGATAACGACTTTTACTGACACCGATGGACTTTCAAGATTTGAAAGATGAAGTCGAGTTTTGAAATGAACAACAAAAATTTTAGAATTATATTCTCACCGTTTCTTCCTGGCTCTTTCCAATGAACAGGCCTCGTACTCCAGCATGTGGCTCGCGCACCATGACGTCACACTCGTCGCTGTTGCAACCTTCACAGCTTCTAACTTGGCTTCTGTGAGCTACAGGGCATGACATGTATGAGAAAAAAATGCTGCAACAATCTGATGTAATAATGCGAATTTCCTAAATCCGACTAGATTTCCAACACTCTAATGTACAAATGATTTAAAAACAAAATCATGATTGGTAACATTTCTGTCATTTGATGTGATGTGTCCCTACCTCTTCTAGTCGCATTTCTGTGACTATTACAACTGCGTTATTGTGATAAGCCTGGTCTGAATCACTTGTTACAGTAACAATTGAAGATGCTGTTGTGCTGGGTGAGCAGATCTCCCCCTGTCGGTACATGCCGGGACTGCATACACAAGTGTATGACCCTGGTGCGTTAACACAGAGTTCACCCTTGCTGCAGTTGTACGTGCCTTCGTAGCACTCATCGATATCTGAAAAATTGACCGATTTCAAATCACGTTACACATAACACATTTCTCCGTGTAATACGCTAATTGTAACTGTTTTCATTTCCTACTTAAATTGTCTTGTACAATGCTTTGTATTTAGAATTCTTAAAATGCAGATGGTACTTAAATTACAATTTTGCAAAAATGCACTCTGTAAAATCAACAAAATAACTGCAAAGCTTATTGCATAATTGTATACGTTTGCAAACGTTTACAGCAAAAACATTTACCTGAGCATGGGTGTACTGGGTTGTTAGTGAGCTCAAACCCATCAAAACAAGAGCAGTTATACCCTCCTGCAGTGTTGTTACATATCTGGTCACAGTGGTTCTCGCCGGTGGCACATTCGTTTTTGTCTAGAGATAATATAAATCATTACAGTTTCGCTTGGCACCAAGTACCACACTTTTCTTGCATTATGGGGATATGGACACAGATCATGAAGGACTCTCATTGGCTGAGAGTAGTGGTTACGTTCTAAATACAGGTTAAAATCCTCAAATACTCGTAAGCTTATGCTAGAGCGAATTCGCTTAAACGTGGATTCCGTCACTGCTCTGTTGAGGTAAAGCGCATGTTGTTCTGTAGCTATTGTGCCAGTTTGTATCATGGAGGTAGAAAAAGAGCTTAACTCTGGTCTGATTATAGTGTGGGCGTTATTTCTAAGTTACGAGTGGCCCTAGACCGACAGGTGCACCACAACAGGAGCCCTTAAGCTGCTGCTTAGTGTGAACAGACAGTCCAGTACTAGTTTACTTGTCGCAAGTAACAGACTCGACACATTTGACGCTAAGCTTCGTAAACTATCCCATTTGTTCATTTCCCGGTTGCTTTCTTCTGAGATTATACATACTTTTGCCCACTCCGACTGTTTTTATCTTAGCCCATTTTGGAGGCATTACGTTAATCTTGTATTTTTAAGTTATTTATTTAGGTAGAAGTATTTTAGCTACTCGGTCCTTTTTCTGTACCTTATATTCCTGTATGTATGTCATATGGGCCAAGTGCCTGAAATAACGTTTAAATAAGAAAAAATTACCTTGGCACGTCACCCCGTCCTCCAGCAAAATGTACCCCTTGTTACATACACATGTCGGGTCTCCATCTACAGTCAAGATACAGTCACTTGTCCCGGGATCACAGCCGGGGTCTTCGTTCAGGCCACACGGTTTCTCCGCTAATGATGAATAAGAAATGCCATTGTTAAAAGGCTAAATACAAATCAATCATTGATAGATGTACAAATTCCTTTTGAATATATTGCTGAATGCTGAATAATATTTTAGTAAAGATCCATGGATTTTGCGATAGGAATTGGGTTCTTAATTAAAAAAAAGTTCTTATATTGTTTGCGCCGGTAAGTTCCTGATCCTCATCTGTGAAGTTGATGCCTTATACTGTATATTATACACCCAGATCAAAAATGTGCAATAAATTCAAGTTCATGTTGAGGAAATTGGCAATTCAATTTTCATCATTTATCCCTGGGATCCAGTTTGAATAGGTTAAACTTACGTTCACACCGTATTCCGTCTGACTGAAGGGTGAAACCCTCCCAGCAGCCGCACACGTAGGAGCCGGGTGAGTTATCGCACCGTTGGCTACAGTTGTTCAACACTGAACATTCGTCTATGTCTGAAACATATATCAGATGGCTATAATTGATCGTTAATCAATTAGTAATAGTAAGCGTTAAGATTAAAACTCTCTTTTATAATATAATGAATAAGAAAGAAAAGTTTGATTTCGTAATCTCTTCAACTGTATCTTTTATATCAAAATAGAAATATTACTCTATTTACTAATGTAAAAGTTAGATTAGAAATTATTGAAATACGTTTTAGTATTGGGAATAAAATAGTATGATACAAACATTTGAAAGCATATCCAACATAGGAATAGATGGCATATCACAGTCTTTGAGAAAAAATTACAAAGGCTATGAATTAAGTCATAGATAGAAGATTTTGAAACTAAAATTAATGTCACCCTTGCAAGAATGTCCGTCGTCTGAAAGATGATAACCTTCCTCGCATCCACAGGTGAAGTTCCCAACAAGGTTAATGCAGTAGTGGTGACAGACTGACCCTTCAGTGGTTTCGCATTCGTCTATGTCTGTATGGGTATATAAAAAAGAAGTAAAGTGTACTATCATATGCTGAAAGGACACAATACATTTGGCTCATGCATTTTTGATGGTGGAGGCTACTTTTTTTTTACCTTTATGTCTATTACTAACTGCATCAATCGATGTTTTCCGTCAAAAAAAATCACGAAATCAAAGATTTCAAATTCCCGGAAGTACATTGTTTGCATTAATATATTGTAACATATTGGAGGAATCTATGTGTTGTAACTCCAGCTATTACACCAATTCATGCTTAATTTTTTAGTACCTGTATTACACAATATACATTCCTGATGACCAACTAACACAGGCTACAACCCAATCTATCAACTGAAATCCAACCTTCTCCTTTTCAGCCTCCTGTGCAGGCTCCGGGGTGGGCGGGGATTTTGATACAATGTTTTGTACAATTTCTAACGCGTTATTTTACTAGCCGGCCATCCTAGCCGCCGAGAGAAGGGAATGGAACCTTCTCTCGGCGGCTATGTAGAATGGTCGGTTAGTAAAATAACGCGTTAAAAATTCTGTATCAAAATTCACGCCCACCGCGGAGCCTGCACAGGAGACTACTCCTACTCACTTCCATTACGACATACATTAAGCCTCCCGAGAAAAAACCTCCCGAAACAATACTTCCGTCCCGTAAAAAAATACATTCCGATTATCTATAGTGCTTTACCTTGACATGTGTTTTCGTTCATGACGTATCCCATGGGGCATCCGCTGCAAATGTACCCGTCCAGTCCGGCTGGAGGAGGGAGGTCCGTGCAGGTGGCTCCCGGGAAACATGGAACAAAGTTCGCCGAACAAGCATCGAGATCACTTTCGCAACGTTTACCGGTGTAGCCATTTTGGCAAACGCATCTCTGCTGCACAAACCTAAAAAATGTGTGAAAATCAATGTATTTAAAATGAAAGAATAAATCTGAATGAGTCATTAAAGACTAAGCTATAGCTTACCTGAGCCCATTTAATAATAATCTACCTCATTAAAACCTCCACAGAACAATATAATACGTCAATGCCTTTCTAAAAAAGACTTCATAAAACCATTTAATTACTCTATTACTCTTTTATTATAGTAGGTTTTATAGAGGCTTTCAAATGACATTTATAATGTTTATTAATCAATGAAAGGTAATACTGAATAATTCGATGATTTCACTAATTGTAACCCAATAAAAATATTTGGGTACTTTAATGTATCACCACTGATCATTTTTGTACCTATTGCCCTCCGTTACAAGTGCTGGGTCAAGATCATCTGTGTAAGTTGAGTTGCAGTCCCCGTTTGGTGAACAGGAACACATGGCGAGAACAGGCCAGTACAGGGAAGAACTGTTCCCATAATTGGTGACTATAACCTGGAAACGAGAAGTGTACATTTTTTCAATAAATTTTTTCAAAAAAAAATTATTGCTTGGTTAATGGCACTAGAATAATTTAGTCATCTTAAATTCAAAATCTTAAATTAAACAAAGATGGATAAACATGATCACTTAATTTAATAAGAGGTAAGTAAAACCTAAGAGGAAGTGACGTAAGTTCCTAATGTTAGTTTGAAAAAATTATATAAATATAAAAATGTATATAATCTTATTGAAATATTTAGTCGACGTACCCTTTTCTCGCCTAGAAAGTTTTCTCGCCTAGAATGTTTTTCTTAGCTTTTATTTCGATGTATAGCTGGATGTTAGGATGGTCTGTAGCACGATAACTAAAGCTATCGACTTAAAAAAGTTTGGCCTACTTTATTTTGGTCAACAGTACAATTTATTGTCTATGCATATAATTTTCTAAATTATCAATTTCCAAAATTTACAAATTATAGACATCATTGCAATACTTCCTCCTTAAAGCCTAACATTATTTGGCTAATGTATGACGTAAAGGTTTTTAAATCAGAGACTTTCAAACTCGACTGAAAGCGGAATTGACTGTCTGGATTTAATGACAATTTAATTATAATACTACCAACCTTTAGACTGAAGGGAGAATCAGATGTAACGTTTATAGTAACATTTGCGTAGCTTCCATCGGCTAATATAGATATCCCTGGAGGAACTTCACCCCACAAAGTGAACGTGACCTCTGACCCAGCTGGGTCCGTAGCGTTGATCTGTATCCTAGCAACCTGGCCAGGTGTCACGTTCACAACCTCTGGGGCAGAGATGACGGGTGGGAAGTTTTCTATATCAAAAATCATGAATACGTTAGTATCGTGAATAATATTGATCGATTCAACAGCTTCACAAAACTTATTAACAGATGAATATTAATCCTTAAAACTTTGTGCTGACATTACAGTTTGTGTATGCATGCATTACCTCTATCAGTAAACATGTTCTATTTAAATACGAATATTATATTTATGATATGCTACGGTAGTAGCTATGGTTGAAAGAATCAATCACGGAAATCTAACCTCTTCCTGACACCTTTTCCTTGAACCTTCTTTGGCCCTCTTTCTCCATTTCACCCACCTCGACGTCTCCTGTCTCGGCCACATCGAACAGGCAGGCGGTGTCGTTCCCACAGACGGCTCTAGCCTGACTCTCCAGATCGGGACCAGCAAAACTCAAGATTTGGTCAGTAAATGCCGGCAGGAAGGAGGGAGATGTAAAGTTAGCGAGGCTTTCTCCGTGAAGGTAGTGGAAAATGGATTTTCTGGGCCCTTCATCTCTTGTCACTTGCCCTGAAACAAATTTAATTTGTTTTGTTACCTTCACGAATAATGGAGGTATTGTTTTTGCGCGCGCGTGTGTGTGTACCTGTGCCTGTGTGTCTGTGTTTCCGTACATTTGTAGTCAGCATAACTTCATAACGCCTTTATAGATTATGATGATATTTGGTATGTTGGTAAGTCTTAGGAAGACAAAGGTGAAATATTGGCCTCCTGGTGGATGACCTTGGTACTGCATCAGAACTTCCGGTTTTTGTATCTTTTGTCCTGAACATGCTATGGTCTTGAATTTGGTTAACAGATAGCTTTCCCTGTCAGGAATAAGAGGTATGGGGTTGGTCCACCTTGCAACTTGTTCTGGAACTGCGGAGGACTTTGTAGCAAAATCTTTACAGCCGATAAGATTGAAACAACACATTTTCATCATTTTTGGTATGTAGATATCTGAGAGAAAGAGAGATAAACAAAATTGGATGCAATATTATGCAAATGAGGACTTAAATTGCATAAATAGGCAGGAAATTCTATGATTACGGTGTTGTATATAACAATTCTTTTATACTTGCAATCTATTTAATCTATGACAGGTGTAACATCAACAGATCATGCAACAATTATGCAAATGATGGTCTAATTTGCATAATTAATGTGAAAATTCTGTGATTCCTATCGGTGAATGATGGGAATTTAATACCTTGTGACATGTTAAAGCTATTTTAAGTTTAACATCACTAGTTTCACTTGTGAAATATCAATGTATGCAGACGACACTGTCATCTACTATAGCAGCAAGGATGTTAGTGATATTGAGTACAACCTCCAAAATGATCTAAATACTCTTTCTCAGTGCGTGGTTCACAGCTAATTCATTATCCGTAAACAGTGGTAAATGCAAACTCATGCTTATTGGAACAGATAAAAGGCTTAACAGTTGCAGAAGTCCTGAAGTGTATATCAATGGGGCAACTGTAACGGAATGTACCTTTTACAAGTACCTAGGTGTGTTAATTGATCGTAATCTTAACTGCAAGTGTCAAATAAATGCCGTCTTGGGCAAACTCAGGCGATCACTCAGCATTTTAAAGCACGTCCGCACATTCCTTCCAACATCTACTCTGTTAACTTTGTACAAAACTATATTTTTGCCACATATTATGTACGCCTGCATTGTCTGGGACACTGCGCCCGAACGTGAGTTGGGGAAATTGCAAAGGATGCAGAACCGAGCTGGCAAGCTGATTCTACGAGCCCCGTATCTAACTCCATCAGCCGAAGTCCACCGACGTCTGGGCTGGAGGGACGTAAAGTCAACCCACAAACATCACAAAGCCCTCCTAATACATAAGGCCCTGAACAACCAACTACCGCCGTACATGCGCCGGATTTTCACGTACTGTAGGGATAGAGCGACCAGAAGCACCAGACAAAGCGCGACTGATCTCCTTGCGGTAGCGATGCCATTAAGAGAAACATACCGGAGATCCCTAGCCTACTCCGGCTCGCTGGTATGGAACACTCTTCCTCAGCATGTTAGAGCAGCACCTACTCTTAGAACCTTTAAAAGACTGCTAGTATCGTAACTGACTTTGAACGACTTTGGACACAACGACTTATGATTTATTTATTAGTTATTGCCATTTTGTTTATTTATTTACTTTGTATGATTATTATTTTGTATTCATTTGTGAGCAAGTAGTATTTATGTTATAACCCCCTGATACCCCTCCACGCTCGACCTCTATGAAAAGCGGCCGAAATAGCGGCCGATTAGAGCATGTAACACAGTTACATATCGAGTTGAAATAAAGGCTCAAACAAACTATGCATATATTATGTTAATGTAAAGATCATCTGCATAAATATTGTCGAAATGAATTATTATCAAAGAAGAGGAATTTTACACGCAAAATATGGTAATTTGAAGTTAGAATACTATGAATTTAACTAGATCATGGTAAATACTACCCTTTTCCATAATCAATGACACAAAAAAAAAACATTACAAAAACTCATATATTTCATGGAGATATGAGGTCTCCGAGTTCGAAGTTGAATCCGAACTGTGTTTCACACGTTTAAAATGTAAATCACTATTTGCAAGCAACTGATGATAACGTTAGATTTTCTAAAGCATATACGAAACAATTCCTATCAGTTAAGTTATTGGACTGAACATGGGAATTGTTACTGAATAAACTGGATACATTCAAAATCCATCAAATTACTTGAGTATCACTTGTATATATCATATCATGGATGTATAATCTTCATCGACGTATATTGGGTTGCATTCAAGACAAATCAATTGTATATTAAAGCTTCTACATGACTTACATGTAGTGCCCATGTGATACAGGTCCTCCTCCGATGCATCTGCAGGTAAAACTGTGCCGTTGAAGAACTCATAATCGTCAGTTGTGTCATCGTCCCACCTTCCCATCAACCCACGCGTTTTGTTCTTGAGCTCTGGCGGTGCTGAGACCTCAATCAACAACATTGCCTGAAGCCAACAAGACAAGATAGAACGAGAGTTCGAAGATCTCAAAACTGCCAGGTTTAGAGTATTAATATGTGCTGTTTTAACCGGACTTCTTATTTAGTATTCAAGTTAATATTGCAAATTCAATATACATTTACATGTAATACATAGAATTAAATGGTGCCTTGTGCTTTAGGTAATATCTGTTTTCATTTTAAAGCAAAATCAATGCATTTTCCTCACCTTCTGTGCCACCACTTTAACCGTGATACCACTGTAGAAAGCCATTAGCATCGAGTTTTCCTCCTTCCGCACAACAATAGCGCTGTTGTCGACAACAATTTCACTCAAAACTGGTAGGTCTACTTCTGAGTTGTTGACAAACAGTTTTAAACCACTTTCTCCTATGAGGTTGACTTGTATTGCCGAATGGTTGGTTTGCCTGGTAGCAATGGCGCTAAACACTGTTGCCCGACTGCTACCTGTAAAGAAATAATTAGCCATATTGGAACATTATCATTTCCGGTTTGTCAATGACAATTTTCCCCCGCTGCTCCTCGCAAACACAACCAAATACTTTTAACTATGCATGCATTATGTCATATTCCACAATAGCGCGATATGACATAGTTTTAAAAAGATACGGATGCAAAAGATAAACTTTTAAACTTATGGCACGATTGCCTTTTAAACCATCCATCATAGGGGCATTATGTGATTTATGTGTTTAAATGATTAAGTAGTGATGGGTTAATCATCCTACTGAGCTCGAGGTCACTGCAGCTTTAATACAAATCTGCCGGGAAACATTAATTATCATAACAAGCAATACTAAATTCTCTACTTGCAAAATCATGCCTTGAAGCTAATCGCATGTACACAGTAAAAAGGCAGTAAAACAAAGAAATAGAGAATATATACTGCCTACTACTACTACTTCTACTACTGCAGTAACTACTACTACTACTTCTACTACTACTACTACTACTACTACTACTACTACTACTACTAAAAAAACTAATGACTTAAAACTGATGACTAAAAACAACAACATCTATATTCAGCGGTTAATTCTTTATTACCTTTTGCTAAGGCAGTCCTCCCTTGAATCATGTATACCCCGTCTACATCCAAGACAACGTATTCCCCCAGTCCGTTAAAGGCGTAGCGGACTCCATCTAACGTAGTTATGTGTGGATCTCCCCAGGCTCCAATAACCCAAACTAAAGAAAAATAATAATTGTACATGACAAAAAAATTCAGGATGATGACAAAAACTGAACAAAAATAGAATTAGAATCAGATTTTTATTACAGATTTAGCATTAGAGATTTATTGAAAATTTCTTGCATTTTTCTTAAATAGTACACTAGGTGGTGATCTAAAATAATTAAAACAGTGTTTTACATTTTGTAGCTTGAATTTCAGTTTCAAATTTTGATAAGTTAGTGCGAGGGTGCGTGTCTATGTCTATTAAATTGCTGTTTCATTTCATTCAAAAATCACTTTGAATGCGTTATGTTAGCATTACTTTTACTGCAAAATAGATAAATAGGTGAGTAGATTAAAAAAATCAAAGAAAAAGTATCTAAAAACTTACAACATTATTAGAAATCTTTTTCATTAATTTAACACGATGTTAGGACTATATATGATACTCTGGGACTATAATATGATACATTAACAAGCGGTCAAATGCCAAGATAACTCTTAGTACCTAGCTGACTTGGGTAGTTTCTGCAAGGATTTCCTCCAATACTCGGTAGAGACAGTGGCCTCTGTTCGGTAAACTTCCTGCAGTAGTAATCATCCCGAACTCCTGACAATTCAACACAGCACCTAGAGTGGGCCTCCTCATCATCACTACGGTCATTCTGGAGAAAAAAAAATTGAATGAAAGACAACCTTTATTGCATGCACATTTTAGCCACACTGGGCTAAGTACAGGGCAAAACAAGACATGGTGAAGATATATACAAAATAAAACTAGCTATCATTACATAAATTCAACTTCTCGCTTTTCAGTTATAGTGGAGATAAAGGAACAGATATGTTTTCTATGAAAGGTTTGTCAAGTCGCATTAGGCTATAGGAATATGAATTTTTTTACAGTGCTCAAGTGTATGAAGTAGGGAAATAGGTTTTGTACAAGCCTATACAGATCATTACCCCCATGAAAAATGGAGGTATTGTTTTGTTGTGTCTGTATGTCTGTGTGTGTGTCTGTCTGTCTGTGTGTGTGTGTGTTTCCGCAACTTTGTGGTCAGCATAACTTCAGAACGCCTTTATGGATTGTGATGATATTTGATATGTTGGTAAGTCTTGTAATGACAAAGGTCAAGGTCAAATATGGGCCTCCTGGTGGAGGAATTCACAAAGGAACAATGTATTTTCTTGATTTTTGGTATGTGGGTAGCTTAGGCAGAGATCTACATTATTGGATGCAAATTAAGTAAATCATGACTTCATTTGCATAATTAATAAAGAAATTGTGTAATTCCAGTGTTTTACATCATGGGTCTTTGATACATGTAATGTTTATAATCTATGGCAGGAGGAATATCACCAGATACAATTATGCAAATACGGAACTGATTTGCATATTTATATCAAAATTCTATGACTCCTTAGTGGTAAATGATGGGAATTTCATACTTGGAACATGTGTAAGTTAATAAAAAGTTAACATCACGATGCATTTATTATGTTTATGTAGAGGTCATTTGCATAATTAAAGAATGAATTTACATGTCAAACCCATATTTCATGGAGGTATGAGATCTCGGAACTTTTTTTTTATTGATTAGGATCCCTATTGGTGTAAATGTCACCTTCTCTTCAGAAGTTTCACCTTAGTACTTTAACCATCGCACACCGGGGCATTCCCCTACTCATTTTCGAAACGTGTGGTGTGCACTTAATCATGTGCGGATTTTCATTCAACGTCCTATTCGAGGGAAGTCCCCAACCGAAGCTAGGTACTTGAAAAAGAAAATAGAAAATCAGGGTAAAGTGCCTTTTTCAGGGGCATAACGTCGGGATGTATCAGGGGTTTGAATCCCTTTGGGTTCTGGGGCAAACACCTAATCATGAGACCACTGACACTGTATGGGATGAATATGAATTATTCTTTGCAAGACTGTCATGATGTAGGAATGGCCATATATAAATGTGCAATGTTAAAAATGATTTTATCCTTATACTCGACAATTTTAAAGCAAATGAACCACCATGATACATCTTTTTCAAGTATTGTGCTTGTTTTATGACCGGAATCTTTTAGCCATAATCGTGTTTTTAAACGTTGAAATGCATAAAACGTTAAAAAAACGTTTTATGCATTGAATAAGAAAATAACCCACCACTATAATGTGACCACCCTGTTGTCCTGTCAGTAATCGTCCTCCTCCAACCTTTGTCTGCCCAAATGATCCAAAAACCTATAAGGCATTCGTGCAAATTATTAGTACGTGATATCATAATCATCAAAAGTAAGAATTTTATATGAACATCTATGTTTGAAACAGTTAACCATATGGCAGTTTTAATGTGGATATTCATTAAAACAAATCAGGAAGCGAATTCTGCCTAGCTTTTTAGCTATAAAAATGTATCGAATCATAGAAGGGATTGACTCTATTCCATATTAATAGAATAGATTGATGGCAAGACGCAAAGAGCCCAATGATATAAGACTGTTACTAACACGATTAAGGCATGGTCTGCACTTTATCCTATGATTACGTATATACAAAGTACACATCCCTGGTGACCACTACATACCACCCAGGGCATACCAGGTAACAGGAGTGTCAATCAACTAAAACTCAAACTCAGCCCTTCCAGTTCCGTATAAGACACCATCTTTCTATATCTGGAACTCAAACATGCAAACCATCTTAATCATGCGCATCCCAAAACAATACTTCCGTTCCTAAAGTAATAAAGTGTACCTGTCGTGCTAACCATCTTATAATATGTACCAGATGACTATAGACTATCTCTAATACATGTAGCCCATAAACACAATCTATGTGTACTCACTCGCCAGTAAAAGTGGGACGGAGTGTAGCAGCATGTCCGCCGGATAGCGTACTCGGTTGACAGATGGACAAAACTGTAAAATGGTAAGCTCTGAGCGCATTCCTCATCGCTGTTCACTTGATAGGAGTACCTAGGAAATCCATATGAGTTATGATCATAATCAGTGTGTATTTTGAATTTCAAATAAACTTGTGCCGTCCCTATTATGACACGTTGTAATTTAACCGCTAAATAAACTGATGTTTAGCCATTCTATTATTACCTTCACCAAGAAGGTTGTGTTTTTAGTACCGCTTGTCTGTTTCTTTGTCTGTCTGTTTATGAACAGCATAACTCAAGAAGCTTTATATGCATTGTAATGCAACTTGGTAGGTGGGTAGGTCTTTATAAGAACTGGAAATGATTAGATTTTGGGCCCCATACCTTTATTTGGGGAAGGTATGAGGTCATGGAACTCTTGTTCATTTATTCATCAAAACATGTAATGGTTGGCACTAGATCTTAATTGAACTATATGGAAAGGATATAGACGTACGCGTATAATGTAAGCAGTAGATATATTCGTACGGATAGTTTTAAATCTTACCCTATGTCTTGCCCTATGTGTGCCTTATGTGTATTTTTTTTTCATTTCCCATTACCCTGTTTGTCCCTCTTGGACTCTTTTCCTGCATAAAGGTTGTGACTAGTACCGATAAAGGCGACACGTGGCCATACTCCATCAGTTTCCCTTTCTTTACCGCGTTTGGAAGATATTTGTATAAAATATGTTTTGCTTAACTCTTTCATTATAATAAATCGGATAGACCCCTCTCTACTAACATCCTTCTCATCGGTTATCCAGGTCACGACCCTCTTACAGATCAAAACCTTTCGGCCGCTCTTCATACTTACATTTCATCAACGAACCGATTCTAATTTCTAGTCCTTCCATCTATTCTTACAACACTGTAAATATAGAAATATTATATATCTGAATGACATCTGTCCTCCAAACATACTAAGTTATATTGTTATTTGTTTAATTTCTTATTTGCCTAGGTTATGGATTGTGAGTATAAGAGATTTCTGTGATTTGTGACTTTATTGTGCTATGATGTGTGTATGTTTATGTATGTATGTGGGGCCCGACATCAGCTGCAGCTGCCAGGGCCTTGCACAGTATTGCAATGTTCGTAATTTAAATAAATAAAAAATAGATAAATAAAATAATAAATCTTACGTTTCGTCATAAAATGCTTGCTCGGCTGTGCAGGGACAGGCACTGTAGCCTTTCACCCGGTCGTATGTCCCCTGCAACACGCCGTAGGCCTTGTCTTCCCCTTGTGCCCGGATCCACATAGAGCATTGTAAGACGGCTGGTTGCGGAATATCAGTGCTTACTTGTTCCTGAAGAGCAAAGCCCCAGCGTCCTGTTGATACATGTACATAATAAATAACAGGATTAAATTTTCGACAAAACGCTGTGTTGACACTATTTATCATCATCATCAGGTCGGGCGAATTGCCCGGACCAAGTCCACTCTTTCTCTCCATGCCGCTCTGTCCACTCTGTTGACACTATTAAAAAGTCCTTTAGTGCCTTTTCAAACTGAAAAAAAGTATGTTTGTCATATTCATTCAAATAATTCTGATCATGACGCCGTTTACGTTTTAAAAACAAAAATACAATCAAATTGAGTACATATTAAATAGTTTCGATCGAGTTACTGAAACCACAAAGGTAGCAACCATACCCTTAAAATCAGCCGTATTTGTACGTTTATCATATAAACGTAATATTTATGTAATCTTGATATAGATTTGTTTATAATTAATATCTATTTAAAAACTCTATTTCTACCTGAGTTTTGTAGCCAAACCCGTCTCATCATTGTAGTTCCCGATCCGTCCATGTCCAGTGAATGATCAGGTACACCATCTCCGTCCCCGGCATTGTATCCTGCCACAGCTATAAGGCTGAGGGGGGCGGATGTCCCTAAAAGCTCATCTGCAGTACGATATTACCCAGTCACAAAAAAATCTTACTTCTGTGTACGGAAGTACTGTTTTGGGTGGGTTGATGTGTGTGTGTGTGTGTGTGCGTGCGTGTGTGTGTGTGTGTGTGTGTCTGTGTGTGTATGTGTGTGTGTGTGTGTGTGTGTGTTTGTGTGTGTGTGTGCGTGCTTCTTCGATAGTTTAGGTTGGCAGCGTGTGGATGGGGGCATCAATAAGGACGGAATTCGTCATGCAATCTCATCTGTTGCCCTTATAATTTTTAGTAATTATTAAACCCAAAATATAGAAGTTTGAAAATTTAAAATCTATTGGTGCCAATCTTCATCAGACATTTTTTTTTCTAATCAGTGCAGAGTGAACCTGATCTTAACATCGTATAGCGAGGCCGGTAAGGCGTTCCACAGCCTTCTAGTCCTTGGTACCTATGAAGACATGTGAAACTATTAAATCATTAAAAAGATCTGTTCTAAAAAACCTGAAATTATATACCTCTTATGTCACTATGATGTCTCTAAGTTATTATTAGACCACGAAGTAAAATCAGTACCAGGGCTTATCCACTCGATCTTCCGTGCAGGGTAGATGAACAAAGCAAACGAATACGTTCCATCCGAGGTCAGCATCAGCTGGAAGCTGTTTACCTAACAGGTGGATACACAGAACTTGGCTTAAAAAAAGAATTCGGAATAACTCTAACTATATGAAATAGTACTCAGGTAAAGACAAAACAGACTATATACACAGATATGACAATAGAAACATATCTCCCTTTGTACTTTGTACTTTATGCATGGTAGAGATTACGAACGTTGAGGGTAAGATTAAAAATTGTATGCAACATTTTAATAACGCAATTAAGTACGTTTAAGTCATTTTAGTAGTGCAGAACATTGGTCATTGTCAACTTTATTATTGCGTCGTTGTTTAAAAAATGCTGAATGTTTTTTAATGTTTTAAATTGTTCTTACCGGCAGGTTAGCGAGTGGTACAGGGCACACTCCATGAGAGTACAGGCTACAGGAAGGCGCAATGTTAACCCATGTTATAACAGTTACCCATGCTGGTTCGTAGTCTGGGGATTACAAAAATTATCAAAATTAGCATGTCAAAAAGTCATTCAAATCATAAAAAGCGACGTACTTGTGAGGCCACCAAGTGAGCCTAAATTATCATTTTTCGATCGATCAGACACCTCCCCCTATATAGAGTCGAGGATGGTAAAATATCTAATATAATGATATGAATATTTATTGCATGTTCTTGCCCAGATGGGCTAAATGCATAAGAGGACAGGGAGTATGCAAAACATGAGTATGCATACTGGAACGCTATATTCTAATGCTAACTAGAAAGGCCAACATTTGCTTCGGAGCAAATGTAATATTTCACTCCATCTCCCTCCCCATACAAAAATAGAAGATTCTGAATAAATCATACTGCAATTATACAAGGACAAGCTTTTTGAATCTCGACAGATATTTACAAAAATGGCACTTGGCCATTATCTCCCTTATTTTTTACAAAGATACAACGACAAGCACGTTAAATCTCGACAGCTTTACTTTACACTTATCTCAATCTCAAAGTTATATATTGCAGGTATCTAAATACTACTAATGACGAAATTGCAACTACTAATAACGGTAGCAAAATTTTCACGGTCTGAGAAACATGGACATGTTCACGGAACTATATATTCACGGTGGTGACAGTTGCAGGAAAAAGAAAGTCCAGGAATTATTTCCTAACTGTAATGATAAGTTCACGGTACAGAGGTGACAGTGAAACCGTGAACATAGACCTCCCGCTTGCGTTACGTTGCGGTTTGGTGAAAAAAATGGGGAATTACAGTAATCAATTTACAGAGTATGTTTGCTTAGTTTCCAGATGTTTTGTATCATTGTCGTAAACTTAGCTTTAAATTAACGAAAACCGATGCGCGCACAGATGCCATCCATACAATCAAATCAACATGGCCTTATTAACAATCACATAAACTATGAAGCCATATATTGAATTAGCTATACATATAATATGATTATCATAACCTTTATTTTTCAAATCATGCCAGTGAGCTAATTGCATGTACAGAGTGAAAGAAAGTAAAGTAAAGCAGTAGAATTTCTGTACTAGCTATAATAGTACTTCATATGATTCGTCCTCATCGTCATCATTCAATGTGATCTATCTCTTGCTACTAGTGACTGGTAATACCTCTGTAGATTCTTCACACTGGCAGAGTACCGTACTCCTTCTCTCTTGTCAGCTCAATACTTTTGTGACAACATCAAAGTGATTTTAGTTTGTATGTTGGAAAAATACAAAAGACTAACATTCTAAGTTATTGACATTCTTGAGTAAGAACAATCAGTTTTTGAATGTTAAAAGCAAAACAACGAAAATAAAAAAAATGTTGAAATTGTTAAAATGCAGAATTGTTAAAATTGTTTAAACTGATAAAATTGTTAAAAATGATAAAATTGTTAAAAATGTTAAATTGTTAAAAATATTAATGTCCGATGCACTGGGGTTCGAACTTGCAATGCCTGGGATTGCCGCCTTGCGCGTTTCCAACCGAGCTAACTCGGTGCGATACACATCACTCACTGCATTGTATGTCATAAAAAGTAAACAGCATGGCGGTATCGATCGCTTCAAGGCACCAAGACTTTCAACTATTAACTACGGGGTTTCCTTCTTTATCAGGTTTGCTTTTGAACCACCTTGATGTTACTTAACTATCAACCCGGCTAGCAGAAGCCGCCCGGGCTCCCTTTTAATATTACAGCCGCTCCCCTGTCCCAATCTTCGAAAACTGTCGGGCATGCAAGCCCTCGACGCTCGCCAGGAAGCCGTCTCGCGATGTTCTCAGCAACAACAAACGAACGCCTGTACACTCTACAATTTTGGTGATTCTTCGGAGATCGATAACAGAACCTAGATAATACTAGTTGGTAAAGATTGCGGAAAATTGTTGATACCGTGGCGTGCGCGCCGACGATACACATTACGTACCGCGTAACTTTTTTGTTTACACGCCGGGCGCAGGTCATTGACCTCCAACTTGCGTTGTTCCAACAGAGAAGAGCAAAATGTCTGGCTCCCGCAGAACGTACCGCACTCTCCCGCTGGACGTACCGCACTCTCCCGCAGAACGTATCGCACTCTCCCGGAGGACGTCCCGCACTCTCCCGAGGGAAGTCCCGCACAGCGTCCTGCACTCTCCCGCAGAACGTCCCTCGAAAATCGATGCGTATTTCGTGGCCTGTGCTGTACCTACCAAAACACTTGAGTTCATACTGTCAAAATGGAACGGCTTTGAACAGGTGTTAATTGAGTTAATCCAATCAAATCCAACAGCCAATCAGCAAGAAGATTAGATTGGTCTGCGTCAGGTTCATGCTTGCATGCCCATATATGGGCATACCGCCGAATTCCTTTCTTATTACGTCACGCGCGTACGCCCCCACAGTACTTTCCTATGGGGACCGCTAAAAAGCAAATAAAACGATTGTAAAAGCTTGTATCAAAAAAATTTAAAAAACACCTAGGGGTATTTACCCACTCTACCTCTATACGAAATTCCAGGTAATTTCGCCCAAAAATGAAGGAGTTGAATCAATTTAAAGATGTGGCAGGAGGAGAAGGAGAAGAAGAAGAATCATCAGTAAAAACAGTATTTCACTATCACTGAAATAATTACTAGGAATCTATACATTATAACAATACTATATACTACCTATCATCTACTATTAGTTGCCATTTCTTCTCTAATGGTAAAATGTGCTTACAAGGAAGGTAGAAGTCTTTAATGGACCTTCCGTCGTCCCTTGCACGACGAAGAACCTCGGGTGAATGTACATTATCGTCGCCCTTCTCGTACATCTCGATGTAGATCTTGGTACGTTTGTGCTCTGGGACGCCTGTGACGTAGGACTGAGACTGAGCCTGGAACGGTGCGATGACAGCCTTCCCTCCCCACACACTGTTGGTCAGAAGGTGTGGTCGCGTGGGACGCGGGATGGGGTCAAATGACACGATGCCGTTATCACACACCTGTACAAATATCGTGTGAATTTTTGTTATTATATAGATGCTTTTTGCAAAATAAGCACTTAGCTATGCAATTTTTCACCTAAAATAACTACATACCAAAAATCATCATGATAATCCATTAACCCCTACTAGAGGAATTTTTAATATTCGAAACCTATGTCTTTTATTATCTGGTCCAAGGGGTATTTACCAGCTCACTACATATCAAAAAAGGAAGTTCTGCTGAAGTACCATGGAAAGACGCTAGGAGGCCCAAAACATAATCTTGCCTTCCCCTTACCAAACCATACTCACGCTTTTAATAGGATTATGATTCATTATTATCTTCTTGTTTCTTCACACAAACACACGCGGCCACTAAAATTTAATTTTTATAATAAAAAATACATTGGCTACACGCCATACAAATTTGGAGGTACGTGTTTTTTACCTTTAAATACAGTCACTGATTGAAGAATTTCTACTAACTGCCATACACATGGATTTAGATATGACCTGGACCCAGCATTAGCTTTAGATTACTGAGAGTCAACTGACAGAAAAGCCAATGGAAAACTGGCGTAAGAAGAAAACAGAAACAGAGAAATCAACAACTCAACTTTATGGTTGCAACAAGCTTAGAGATACACATTTATTTTACAGATCTAGATTGTATAAAGCTCTGGCAAAATAAGTATCTAATTCTTTCTTTGATTCTGTGAAAATCAGTTAAGCAGATAACAACAAGTTTTGCCAACTTACGTAAACACGGTAACATCTTCTGTCAAAGAATCGCAATCCCTCTAGCGGTAGTTCTTCCTTCTTACAGTAAGTAAAGTCCCACTGCTGGCTTTCCTTGCCCACTGCCGCTCCATAAGGGTACAGGTCACTGTCTGTTGATGATTCATTGAAAGTCATAAGCACGCATCTGGCATATATGAATAGCAAAGTTAGAAAAGCCCATCACATGATGACGATTACGCAGATGAGCACTTAAACAAATAACAGCTTTAGTGGGTGTGCTGCGACACCTCACTTTAGCATGAAAGTTCATCTAAGTTGGTAAATTACATTATGAAACATTTAAGCTGTTCTCCCACTCAAACTGAGGGAAAACTAAGCGCTCACTGAAAACCAGGTTTCTAGAACATAGACGACCCAGTTCTGTTGCATCTGAGGTGTCGCAGCACATCCACATAGAATCAACGGGACACACAGTGGATCTGGAGGGGGTCAGAATCTAGGGTACCGAACAGGATTACTTTAAGAGAGGTATAAAAGAGGCCATAGATCAAGATACATCAAGATAAATCAGGGCATTTCAACCTTCGCTCAACCGGGACGGGGGGCGATATTGACTTAAGACAACCTTCGACCCTTTACTGACGTCACACATGGGGAAAATTACGTGTCTACAGCATTTTGGTCAGATAGCTGAAGAAGACTGAGTGACTCAGTCGAAAATTCCGGTGAGTGAAATTTATGAGTTAGAGAACAGTTTGAATTTTTCATAAATAACAGCTTTCATGCGAAAATGTACAATAAAGGAATGTTTAGGAACCAATCTATGCACATATCTGTAAGTGTGTTACGTCGTTTTTATATTCATTTGACCTTCTCGCTGTAGATAAATCATTTAGTCTCATTTTCAGTATGCCAAGTTCAATACCATTTTCAGTATAAATTGGTCTCTTGGAATGCCAAATATGCATATATGACACACGACAATGTTACTTTGTACAATAGCGTTAAATGTGCATATTTTTGTAGGAATTCAAAATTTTCGATGTGGATTTTCTACAATTAGATTCAGCTTTATTCACATTGGCATGACATATTAAAAATTAAATTGATGAATTGAGCCAATATTTGACGTTTAAAATATTCAGAGCAGATCGATATAAACTATATTTTCAAATGCGATTGAAAACACTGACAATATATTGAGTATTGCCAGCAATAAATGAACAAAACATAAACAGCACGACCAAAACTGCACCAACCTCTACATTCTCCATTAACGAGGGTGTACCCAGACCGGCATGTGCAGGAGTAGGACCCGATGTTGTTGGTACAGAAGTGGCACTCCTTTAGAAAGCTACACTCGTCAATATCTAATGCAAAATATATTCACAGGATATTCAAACATTCACCACTTAGTGCTTTTTGATTGATGGGTTTGATTTGATTTATTGAAATTGCAACAGTGCAATACACGCGGCACAGAGGCAGCTGTTGCTGGTGTTGTGACCTGCACATAGAAACAAAACATGGACAGTCGACAATACTCATTTTCACTTGAGTCTAGTGAGGAAAGTCGTGTAAAGTGCCTTTCCCAAGGGTACAAGATCGGTGGCATGTCCGGCCTCAAACCCGGGACCTCTTGATTCCAAGTCGCGCACGCTGCCGTTGCGCCACCGACCCCACAAAAGTGCTTTTTGTTTTTTTACCAACTTTTCCGTAGCTTTGCAAATGCTTGCCTATTATTAATTTCCTTTATTGACATTTCTGAGCAGCAAAACTGGATTTTTATTATCAATTTTCTGGTCATTGTTTTGATACAGTAAGTTGAATCAGTCTTTTCACATAGCATACTTATCTTTGTTTCAAAAATGCGATGTCGCTGTACAAAGGTATTGTACAAAGACATTCTACAAAAAATTAAGGTTGTTTTGTATCGTAGGCTGGTATTGGCTTTTTGACAGAAGGTAAAAAATATGAGACGTCTCACGCGCTGTTGAGACGTATTTAAAGTATGTAAACGTTTAAAGTATGAATTGATGGCAAAAAAAGGGCTAAAATGGCAGTAAATATCAGAATCAAATAAACTTTTGCTACAGTTTTTATAATTATATACTGTAATATATTTTTCCGCCCTAAAATTCCATCGGGTGCCTTTAAAGGCACAGTACACGCCTAGAATGTTATCAAATTTATCTATAGTATGTATAGTATGTATGTCTAAAAGCGGACAGGTTTTGAACTTATCAACATATTTTGACTAATATATGATAAAGCGACGTTACCTGAACAGTTGTGAGTTCCCACGGACTGGAACCCTTCCCTACAGGTGCAGTAGTAGCTCCCCGGGGTCTTCACACAGTCCTGCTGACAGCCGCCGTTGTTTATCAGGCACTCGTTAGTATCTGAAAGGGTAAAAGGCGGAGGAAACATAGAATATATGTATGTGTGACAAAATTGCGTGTGCGATTTTTTTCTGTCCAGTGATTGGTTACAATTTGACTTTGACTGTATGTCTTTCAATACAAGAATCCAATAATCTTATCACATATCAGATAAAAGCCCTGGATTAGATATTTTAGGCTTTCACAAAAAAATCAATTAAAGTGATTATATTGCGCTATCGAACATACAGCACATGGCGTTTGTAAACTTTTTCATCGCATATGTTTTTTTTTTATTTGCCAACGTTTTAGTAGTCTATCTGTCACCGTCTCCAAATATAAGGCAACGTTTGAGACAGCAGCGACGCCTACCGGATAGATGTTTTTGCAGTTACCAGCTGTTGACTTGAGCAGCGTAGCGTGCACTGTTAAAACGTTTAGTGCAGCGTCCGATAGTTACGGCATTTTGTAACACTGTTTATGGATAACATATAGGGATGGCATGGAAGTTCATCTGTGTTGGTATAAGTCATTATGAAATAAAGACTAAGCTTTAACTTCCAACTCTTAGGTTACAAGGTCAAACCAGGAAGGTTCCGTGTAAGGATACATACATAGGTGAGACAGAACGTGCATTAAAAACGAGATTCCTGGAACATCAACGTCTCAGTTCTGTAAACTCAGAAGTCTCATAACATATTCACATTGAGTCCCCGGGACATTCAGTATCTCTTGAAGGGGTAAAAATCCTTGATTCTGAATCGGACTTCCTTGCAAGAGGAGTTAAGGAGGCGGTCTAAATAAGAGCTCACAGACCTACCCTGAACAGAGACGGGGGGCGACACAAGTTATCTGGCACGTATGACCCGCTACTACGGTCACGTGTCTCTGACGTCACGTTCCAAGAATAGACGGGTCCATTCCGTGAACAAGGTTGATGGAGTCAACCAAAAATTTGGGGTAAGTCCCAATTCTATATCTAGTTATGGAAGTCTTTATTTCATAACATTTAGGGATTTTGACTTTGTACATTGGTTCGAGAAAGAATTTGTCTACAAGTCAGTAGATGTTAATTTCTAGCCCAAACAACAGATATCCCTAAATGTGTTATTCTTTATCATTAGTATGTGCGTTGTATATGTTAGACACAGTTCAATGGCGGGGAGTGAGTAAACTATTCAATGGCGGGCTCAAAAAAACTATGTGTACAGTATCAAGATATTGGTTTTGTTTTACCAATACAGTGCGTAACGTCAAAGACTTCCCAGCCGGCCAGGCACGAGCAGTTGTAGCTCCCTTCAGTGTTCACACAGATCTGCTGACAGCCGCCATTGCTCACCGAACACTCGTCAATATCTAAATGAATAAAAGACAAGAAAACTTTGTGTCGTCAATATTTGCTGCTTTCCTTTCCTTTTTGTGGCTACGATATAGTAAGCCATACTTCACTATTCAGAGAATATCGTTCGATACGATGCCTCCGCTAGTAAACATTAGACAGGCGGGATTACGAAATTCAATATAACATTGCTGTAGGCAAAACGTATTTGCTGTCTAAACTAACCCCATATAGAAATAAATGTAAAAGTAGTAGTAGTAGTAGCAGCAGCAGTGGTAGTAGTAGTTGTAGTGGTATCCATTTTTTTTTACTTACTATACATATTATTTATTTAAAAACGTATCCTATTCCCCGACTTAAGTACTCCTTTAGCCCATGCCTAATACATGGGTACCTGTGCAAGTGGTGTTCCCGCTTAGCTGATATCCCTCCCTACATGAACAGTGGTACGATCCAACTGTGTTGTGGCAAATCTGGTCACAGTCACCATTGGCACTCCGGCACTCGTCGATATCAGGTTCTGAAAAATTGGATTGATTAAATTAGGTTGGATTAAATGTAATCAGACGTACAGATATTTTCAAACACACGCAGACACACAGGCCCACACAGACCCCCCCCCCCACCACACACACACACATACTCTCTCACACACACACACACACACACACACACACACACACACACACACACAGTTACACACAAATACACACAAACGCGCGCGCTCACACACACACACATCCTACACGTACGCG